ATTTTAGGATGGCGGAAATACCAAGCTATGATTAGAAGGTTGGATATTTTAGCCCTATCTCCTACCTGCAGGGGTGCAAAGGCTGGACATTTAAGTTCTATCACCAATGGCCGATAGTTTAATCAATCATGCCTACATAATTAAACTTTCATAAAAGCCTCTAAACAACGAGGTTCAGAGAGCTTCCAGGCTGGTGAACACACAGAAGTACTGGGAGGGCGGTATGCCCAGAAAGGGCGTGGAAGCTACGAACATCTCCCCCCATACCTTGCCCTATGCATCTCTTCCGTTTAGCTGTTCCTGAGTTGTACCCTTTACAATAAACCAATAAATGTAAGTAACGTGTTTTCCTGAGTTCTGCAAACTGTTCTAGCAAATTATTGAATCTGAGAAGAGGGTCATGGGAAACCCCAACCTATAGCTAGTCAGTCAAATAGGATAAGTGGCCTGGAGCTTGCAACATATCTGCAATAGAGGCAGAAGCACTAAGCCATTAAACGGTGGGATCTGACACTAAGCACTAAGTCCAGGTATACAGTATCATAATTAAAGTGAATTGTTGGACACCCAGTTTGTGCTGGAGGACTGGAAGAATCACACAGCCCCATCCAAGTTGCAAGGGGCAAAAGGCATAGCAGACAAGTGTTCCAGGGCCTGCAGGAAATCAGACTCCTCTTTTAAACACTTGAAACAGAGTAGTTGGTCTACTATAAATGAGGTTTTTAAAATTCAATTCCCTCCCATTGCTCATGCATATCTGAAATGATCTGACCAGATGGCTGGTGCTCTGTAATTCTTGGATTGCTCTCATCAGTTGATGATTTGGATTTTCTTTTTTTTTAACCCCCCTCACAAGAACATATTCCTATAAAGACTTCCTGCATGCTCCCATCAAATGGGCTCTTTGTGCTACCGCTAATGTTTCAGAGGTTCTCACAGCCTCCTGCAAACCATCTCAGGTCAACAAGGAACCCCAAGTTCGTGCTTTCCTGAGCCCTTATGAGGCCAACATGCATCACTAGTTAATGAGCCGGGGGCAAGCGAGCCCTTTGTCCAGGCTGCCTTGTTGCCTCCACTTCTCCTTCAGATCCCAAAGGAAAGAGAGATAGCAAAGGTATATTTTTTCATATGACAACTACAGCCACTTATTGAATATTTCCAATGTGCCAGACCCTGTGTGAAATATTTAACACATGTTAATCTTGTTTTAGTCTCATGTCATCTTTGCAAAGTGGATATTTTTATCCCTACTTTCAGATGAGGAAACTAAGATTTAAAGATTCTCATCACCTGACCAAGACCATACAGATTCAGCATTATAAAATTTGACCCACTACTCCACCAAGATCTAAGACAGAGAGAGAAGGCCCTCACCTCCCCACACCTCTCCCTTGTGCCCTTACTGAGCACAAGACACTTCCACCAGAACATCCAAAAGGCACTTTGGGGTCTTTTTCTGTCTCTGTAGCCTCTGTGGGACTATGCACTACTGGAAAGCAGGGGTCATGGAGCATTTACTACTGAAAGAGACAGTATGGCACAGTGGCTAGGAGCTCAAGCTTAGGGCCAGACAAAGCTGGGTTTGAATTCTGACTCTACCACTTAATGGTCATTTGGCTAAGTCAGTTTTTCTCTCTGAGATTCAACTGTGTCTGTAAGAATGAGAATAGTTATAGCACCTGCCCACAAAGAATGCCTGGCACAGTTGATGCTCAGTAAATGTGATCTATTATCTGTATCTCTGGCTACCAGTACAGTGTCTGGCACTAAACACAATCTCAGAAAATGCCCAGGGGGCACAAGCCCCACTGTTTATGGCTGTGACCTGCTTCCATGATAGCAAGTGTACAGGCACAAAGCCCTGAGTTTCAGAGGTCCTCAGCCCGAGGACAAATTCTTAAGTTCCCTGCCCAGACCCACAGGACCGCCAGCAGCTTTCCTCTGCTTACTTGTGAACAGCTGATGCTGAATCCACACTCAAATGCTTACTGTACTTCCATAAGGTGAGACAGATCCCAAAATAAACCAGGAGAGAGAGCGAGACAAGAAAATCACTTCCAGGAACAAATGGCTCACAGTGAGGATGCTGACATGATACCAGAGGCAGGCATTCTTCAAGAGAGTGACCTGCAGGGCTGAGTGGCTGGGGCCCAATTCCCACCTGGCCTAATGGAAAGACCCATAAAGTCATGGATTGGTCCCTGATATCCCAACTCATGACTGTAAATTGGCCTTCAAATGAACCCAGACCTTGTACACCAGTATCTCCTCCTTGGTGGCTCAAGGACAACAGAGCTGAGGTCTGGTGGGGACAGAAGGCACTGAACTAAGATCAACATAAACTGGCCATTTTGCCATTTTCTTAAAGGTCCCCAAAAGATACATCACCATCTTCCTGCGTCATGCCCCTGACTCTGGCAGGAAATGCTCTGCTAACCCCTGCTGTACCTCCTCAAAAATCTCTGAGGAGGGAGAGAGGGAAAGCATTTCATGACAATGGAAGTCTCTCCTTCTTACCATCTAAGGCCGGAAAGGGCAGGAAGACTACATAATCATCCACTCTCACTGGCATCTAATTCCACAATCGACCTCAGGCAGTGGCACAAATGGAGAAATTACTATTTAAAAATCGAAACTGCTACGAACTGAGTGATGTCTTCACGTCAAGAACCCTCACAACAGCCTCTGCAGCAGGTAGGGTAGGACATTTCCCCCATATCACCAATGGGGAAACCGAAGGGCAAAAGGATTCAATGACTTGCCCAAGATCCCCTAAGTAGCAAAGCTAGAATTTGAACCCGGAACCAGCTGAATCTAAAGTCAATCCTCCTAACCACAAAACTATATTACCTCCCCATTTATCTATCCATCAGACAAGTTCCCAAGTATGGATACATTCCTTTAACTTAAGTAGCTGTGTTGGAAGCTCCCAGGCAGCACTCAGAATGTGGTAAATCAAATATCATACTCTGACTGAAGACAAGTGCCAGCTATCCACGCAGACCATTGTGAAGTCAATTTCCTACTGAAGGACATACATATAAAAACTTCTCAATATACACACAGAACACCTCAATCCTACACCAGGGCCTAAGAGAATCTTGTCTTCCTCCACTGGTTGCATTCCCAAGCACCAGAGTCAGAATAACTCTCTTTTTTTTTTAAATTTTTTTTTTTTTTTTTGGAGGTTGGGGAAAGGTCGGGGAGAGAAATTTGCCTGTGGCTTGTCGCCGTTGTTGGTCGCAGGTGCCTTGGATGAGCTCAGGGCAGAAAAAACTTTAAAGGGGTAAGCACAACTGAAAACAGAATTGCTTTGCCCCTAAGCTGTGGGGCCTGAGTGTCTGTGTTCAAACACAATACGCCAGCCTTCAGGACAGCTTCTAGGGAATTTGGGGCAAAAGAATTTACAAGGGGCTCTTGAGAAACTAGAAGACAGAGGAAGACGTCAATAGAGCATCAAGTTAATTGCAAAAATCAATGCTCTACTCTAATTCTCTAGGAAGCACTCAGAGCTTTCAGCCTGCCCATGCCGTACATGCTCTGGTTCTCTCCCTGCAAGGCTATAGAGGGGGCTCTTTGTTAGCCATTAACAGCAGCTCCACTGGCCAGAAGGCTGGGTAAGGGCCCTGGGTCAGAACTTCCAGGTCTGCTCTGCAATGTGGACCAGGGCCTTGAAGGGTACCACAAAAACTGAGAGGGTAGGAGTGGGAGCCACAGAGCATTGATCTCTACCTACTCCAGGCACTTGCCTGGCTTCAAGTGTTACAAGCACTTTCAACCACATAAAAACAGTAGATACAGCCCATGTCTTCTATCCCCACCCCTGAGAACTCCTCTAGTTATAGTCTGCAAGGACCAAGGTCTTCAGCTCTCCAGGAAGCTAGGGGAGGGCAGACAGAAGTCGGATCTGCAGAACCCAGTACCTGTCTTCCTAAAGCCTCCCTCTACCTAACTCCATTAGTCCCTACTTGCTTCCTTGGTGCTTCATCACTCTTCTGTGGCAGCAACTACCCCTACACAAGCCCAACAGGAGTGATATTACTACAAGAAAGTTGGCTGGCACAGCAAATGCTATCCCTGCCTGCAGAGCAGCAATGGAAGCAGGGAAGGTATGGTAATAAATATTGGCAAGAAGCTGATGAAACCACACTGTGGCAGCTGCCAGGGCTTGCCATCTACCTTGCTACAGTGCAGAATGCAAACAGCCTACTCCTCAGAACAGGCCCAAGTGTCATCATAGTCAGGCAGGGACAACTGGAACTAGAAGGACAAGGGGGAAGAAGATTGGTCCAGGGTCTAAGGTCAGTGACATAGGATAAGTTACATAACCTCTCTAAGCCTCAATGTTTTCCTAGGAAAATAAAGATAATAACAGGTCCTATTATATGAAGATTGAACAAGATTATACACGTGAAATACCTAACACAGTACCTGAATATGATAAACACTCCACAGTTTCTGGTTACTTTCATTATTATTTTAAGCCCTGGGCCTGGGTTCATAAAAAGGTTAGGAAAGTTGTTCCTTCTAAGGATGCCCCACTTAAAAACCAGGCCAGGACAAGCCCCTGTTTCTTGGCACAGGTTCCTTTAGCAAAAGAACACTCCTGCCCCACACCAGTGCTCAGGACTCTCCTGTGAACAATATTTCAGCAGCACTGAGCCGAGCAGAAGAGCCCAAAATAGCATTTGCAGAGGGAGGCACATGTCACTGCCTCTCCTATGTTTCAGAAGTGCAAGGAAAGAAAGTTTTCAATCACTTGCTCAGAAAGCTTGGCCACCCACTTACCTGCCTTCCTTCGAGGGCACTGAAATCTCTGTTCTGCTGGAAAATGAAGGTCCCTAAGCCCTGCAGCAGCAGGAACAACTCTGATGAACCACATCATTTCCCTCCAGCTGGTTAAAGAGTGGCTGCTCCTTCAAAGCAGCCTTGTGGGGGCAAAGGATATACAAAATTTGAACTCAGAATGTGTTTCACGGGGACAAGGCTGGGGTTGGTACCTGGCCGAAGGGCCTGCCATTCATGGCTTGGGTGAAACACCTCCAGGACGTCGGAGTCTAGCTCCTCCTCTGCTGCGGTTTCCTCTCTCTCTGTTTCTTTGGTGGTGCTCTTCTCTGGGTTGGTCAGCGCAAACTCCTTCAGAGAAAAAGAAAAACAAAAAAACAACACAGAGCATGACTGACCACAGCTAAGCACAAAGCGACAGAAAGAAAATGGCCTGGGGAGGTACTCTCTCCCCTCTATGCTGCTCCTCCCCTCTCCAGCCATGTTTGGACCTTTCACGAGGTTAGCCCAGAACTAATATGAGTGAGACAATATGGTTAAACGAACATAGCACATGCTGTGTGTATGCGGCACTTCTGTATATGCATAAGGAAAAAGTCCACAGGTTTCATAATATCTTCAGGGGGCTAAGGGAACATACGGGGAACAGGGATTAGCAAAAAGAGACAATAAAAGCCTTTCACTTTTTACTTGATATGCTACCATACACTGTATGATGTTTAAAATTCACATCTATCACTCTTATAGTTTAAATATATATATTTATAAAAGAAAACACATACATTATCAATAGGCAATAGGCCTCAAATGGCCACCCCAGATGTACAAAGGCGAGCAGCTGAGACCCAGCTGATTCCCAAGCAGCCCAACAGTGCACAGTAAGTATCCGGCAATTCCCCAGGATGCCTATGGCGCATAAACGATCACTTGGGACATTCCAACCCATGAGTAAGGGGTGCGGCGTGGGAAGCTGAGAGTCCAGCTGGGCTGAGAGAACAAGCAGCCCAGGTTGGAAACCTCTCCCTAAAACCTGTTTCCTTCCACACTATGGAGAGCATGGAGGATTAATGAGATGGTGTCAGTGGAGCACTCTGAGCTCAGGAGACAGAGATGCAAGATAAATACAAAGTGTTATTCATTTTGCTCCTTCCCAGTTTTCCTGTCCCATTTTTAAATCTGTTCTTACATAAAAACAGTAAGGACTCAGGAAATTGGAACCAGGGGGTTCCAGAGCTCTGGAAAAGTACATTTGGGAGGGCAAGGAGGAACCCACACCAGCATATGGGGATGTTATTTCAGCCCTCCCACCTCCCCCACAATCACATTTCCTCCACCTCCCAATTCTCCCACTAACGATAGTAAGTACATTTCATAGATTCCTCCCATGAACCCAAACCTGTGCTAGGCACATTATATATATCTCATTTTGGTTCCCAACAATTTGAACCCTGCATGGGAAATAACACTGCATCTCTTTCAAGCAGTGCCACAGCTCCAGATGTGTCCCCACCTGCCTCGGTCCCTCAAGGTCTGACCTTAAATTAACTGTCAGAGGAAAGGTTAAGATATTAAGGTGTTGGTGATAACAATGTAAAGAACTTACAGGGATTTACATTTTAACAAGAAATGAAAACATGAAATTCAGATGGCAGGATTTCAGATTTTATTAAGAACCAGTAAGGAAACTATCTTGGGCAAAAAGAGGTCCTGAAATCATGTCATAAGTAATGAGAGGCAATGATTATAGATAGCATAATAGTTAAGAGCTCAAGCTCTGTATCAGATAATGTAAAGTTCAAATCCCAGTTTCTTGTGACTTCAGGAAAGTTGATTAACTTTCTAGGTATCAGTTTCCACATTTGTGAAGTGGAGACAATAACATCTAGCTCATAAATCACATAAAGCACTAGCCCTGCCTACATGGTAGCTGTTACTCAGAGGGTCCAGGCTGGACGAGTCTGAGTCATGATATCCAACAGAGATACACAATATAGCATCATTTAGGTCAGGTTTGGGCTGTGGCCACCTGGGCAGCCACGCCCCATGAATCTCTCCTACTCCTTCTCCTTGAGGTTTGCACAAATCTGAGCTCAAAAGAATACTAGGAACAGAAGAGAAAATGTGCTCATGAGACTAAAGAACAGACACACTGACAGGGCGCACCCGACTTGCTCTGAGGGCAGGAACATCAGACTTCCAACAGCCAGGTTCCTGAGGACAGGCTCTGTGTTGTCTTTCACCCTGTCTCCCCCTAGCACAAGGCTTTTACTCTGTAATTACCAAACAAAGGAAGGAAGGAACCCCACCACCCCCGAAAGACAGGTATGTCTTTTGGATGCCTCGGACTGAGGCCAAGTCTAAATGAGCTGAGTCTGCTGGAAGCCAGGTACAAGCCACACATTCCAGAACAAAGACCACCTTGTCCATTAAGTACCTGGAGCCTATTACTCCAGGGCCTACCCACACTGGTCAGCCTCTACCTGAAGTACCATACACTAGGCTGTGGGACTAGGAGAATATTAATAAAATTTACCTCAGATGTATGTGGGTCAAAAGCAGGGATGGATATAAATGAGTGTGGTAGGCCAGGCATAAAGCCACAGGGAATGGTGGAACTGTAAAACTGAAGCCCTCCTGCCTTGACTAAGGAATGCAGCTGCTACTCAGCTGGTCCACCACTGCCATGAAGGCATTCAACTTGAAAACAGAAAACTAGATTTTTATGTGAAATTTTCTTATTTTTAGAACACTAAGAAGACCAAACTAAACATCTATAAGCTTTAAATTACAACTCTTACCTTAGTATATCTATTAACCAGGTAACTCCTGGCAGTTGTGGCTATAAACAAGCAACCATATTCTCATCATCAAGAAAAGCAGATGGGAGGAAGTGGAAGAGGATAAAGCAGGGATAAATAGTAATGGGGAAAAAACACAATAAAAACTAACTACAGCCCTGGCTAGTGTAGCTCAATAGACTGAGTGCTGGTTGGCTCCTCTCTTTCTCCCTTTCTTCCCCTCTCTCTAAAAAATAAATAAATATATTTTTTAAAAAACTAAGAGAGAAGCAGAAAAAAGCAAGAAGAATGGTGATGATGAGAATATGGCAGAAAGTCCTTCAAAATCTAGCAGTAATTTTGTTTTAATGAGTAGAGAGGATCCTCTCTTTAATAAAGAGGGAGAATAGAAGGGATATGAGAGCCACACTTAGCTTTGAGGCCAGACACTTTTGCAACAATCCTGTCACTTGGCAAAATGTTTTTTGGCTTCCTCTTACTTCCACTTTTGAAACAGATGTTAAGCCATAACCACACACACCACACACACACAATCTGTCATTATTTTACAGCATACCTCAGGTTTTAGTGGGAGTGATACAAAACTGACACTCCCCTACCTGATCAGCTCACCCTGTTCACCAAATCTGGCTCAGCATGACTTTGGATTCACTAAAAATGATTCAGTCATATGAACATATCATAAGTTAGTTCAAAAGAGGAATTCTACAAAAGGTCTTGAGAAAAAGCAACATCAAAGGGGTGAAGTTGTTATGATAACAGTAGCTACCATTTATTAAGCCCTTCTTACCATATGCCTGGCACTGGGGTAAAGTGTCTTCCATGCCTCACAACTCAGCCAAGTTTCATCTGTGAAGCACATACTTTTATAACCATTTTCCAGATGAGGATGGATACGGGGCCTGTGCAAAATCACAATGCTAGCAGAGCAGAGATTTAAGTCTAGACCTGCCTGGCTCCAAAGCCCATGCATGATTTCTGACTAACTTCTGTGTTTTTGTTCTTAGTCATGTGTCCTAATGGTTGTGTCCTGGATACTGAGGAATGAGATGACGTTAGCACGTCTATTAGCACAGCCCCCTTTCCAAGGAAAGGCTTTTATGGATCAGGTGAGAAACCACAGTCCCAAAGAAAGCCAGACTAGTCCCTCTGCCTGGGCACTGTCCTGAACAGGAAAGAAAGACCAAGAGGTTAAAGAAGCCAGACAGCCCTCGGTCAGCTCTGAAGTAAATACTATACTTCGGTGCCCTCTCATCCGGCTCCTCGGGGCTCCCTTCCATGCTGAATCCTCAGCTCTCTTCTCCCTGCCACCATCACTCCAAATACCAATTTCCTCTCAGCTGACTGGCAAGAAATCCCACCTAAGGTGTTAGCTGACAACAGCTTACCATGTCACACTTCCTTGTACTTGCATCTGAATAAGAGATTCTTAAAGATCAAAAATTTCAAGATCCAAGAGAATGAATGAATCTCTAATGGTAGGTTGGTAGATGCTGTGACAGAGACACATTACCAGGGCAACATTCTGGGACAGAAGCATGTCTGACAGAGCCCTAAATTAAACCCCAGAAGCAGCCAACCTCTTACTAAAAATAACAGCTCATATGTATTGACCACTCATTCACCTTATTGTGCCAGTCCCAATGCTAAGATATATATATATATATATATATATATATATATATATATATATATATATAGTCACACTTGATCTATACTAAAATCTTAGGAGGGAAGTACCAACCCTATTGTATAGATAAGGCAACAAAGCTTAGAAGTGGTCAAAGTGCCAAAATAGGTGGCAAAAGGAGTTTACCAAAGGTATGTGCTCCTTCCACTGGGTTTCACTACCACCTTCACTACTCACCACCTTTTTGAGGGCCAGTATACCACACAACCATATCACTTCAGCATCCACACTGCTCCTAAGATGTAGCACCCAGGGAGGTGACACAGCAAGAGCCAGGAGGAAAGGCTAGCTCCAGATCATACCTGATACGCACAATTAACCTTTCCTGGGTGGCCATTATCTTCACAAATGCCCTCAGGGAGGACTATTTCAGGTCTCCAGAAGCACTTGCCTGGACTTCAGGCTCTGAAGGATCATGACCACCCCCACCTCACCCACTGGTCATTTTCACTGTTGTGAAGGTGGCTGGCTGCATCACTTGGAGTTTAAATACCATGAGGGCAGCAATTTTTATGGTATGAGAGAAAAGATGCTTCAACTCCTACTTGTGCTTAGCACATGATGAAAGATTATGACAAATGGATTACAGCTTAGGAAAAGACATAAGGATAAAAGCAGCTTCTGTTGATGAAAGTCAGTATTAACATTTTTCTGAGACTAAACTCAATAGAACTAATATAAATGGGCCAGAATAATTATGGCTCTGAAAGCTCATCTTTTTGGTTGGACTATTATCCAAAAGGGACTTCCTTACACATAGTCCATAAGTAAATTCATCAGCATGCTTTTATTAATTGTGCATCTGCTAAAGCTCACGATGGGGAGCACTCAGATCCTCATGAGCTACAGGTTGGGGGTGAGGAAGGGGAAACAACCCTGATACCCTGAGACATGTGGGTGTTTTTCTGAGTCAGGCTATGCCAAACGCATCCCTGATGCTCATATTGTGGCCAGTCCCACCCTCAGGGGCCAATGGGATCTCATTCTCATTGCTCTTGAAGAAGAGGACAAAAAAACAGTACCAACAAAATTTTAGAGAACATTAAAAGTTCAAAAGGATTCATAACTCCCAAATGTACATCCTCTCCTGCTCCACAAAGTGAGGAGAAATGCAGACAGAAAACAAATGACTTCAGAGACAAGGTGGAAGTTTGCCATAAGCCAGGAGGTGAACCTCATCTGAGCTAGATTGTCATTAAATTCATCACAATTGTTATTTACACTTCAAGGCTCTCCTGCTCCAAAGCCTCCAGCACTTTACCCAACATTTAGTAGGAGTCCCCAGGGTTGGGGAAGGTTTCCAGGGGAGGGTAAAGCTGTCAGAACTGACAGTCAAGTCTTCCCAAGGGCAGAGAAAGAGTGGACATTAGGACCTGGTCAAGGGCAGGATGTTGCTGAGACAGGCCAGGAGAAACTGGGCCAGGGGCCTTAGCATGCTGCAGCCAGGCCAAGCTCGGGACCTTCTCAGGCACTTTGCTCCTGTCTGTGCCAATGACAGAAACCCTAAACCATGAAGCCTAGGTTAATAAAGAGAGGCCTGGAAGGGACAAAAGAACAGAGGAGAAGAGAATACAGACATACAGACAGACTTGAGAAAGCACAAAGAAGACAGGAGCAGAGGAAGGAAAGCCTTACTTCAGGCTTACCACATAGGCACCAGCTCTTGGGGGAAATCCTGACCTTCCAGCTCTGCCAAAAACTGGCTGTATGAATTTGGCCAAGATACTTAAACTCTCTTAGCCTTAGTCTCCTCCTCTTCAAAATGAAGATAATTATAGTTATCTACTTCAGAGTATTGTTGGGGGGATTAAGTGAGAAGAGATATAAAGCTCTTAATAACAATGTCTAATACATGATAAGTTTCACATTATTATTAAAATTATTATTATCATTATCATCATCATACCTTCCCCAAAGAGAAACTGTACTGTGAGCTTTAAACAGAGCCCAGAGGACTCAGGGATAGAGGGGATGAAATATGCAGACTTTGTGACCCAGTGCTGGCCACATTCCTGTAAGAAAAATAAAAGCTCACCCCACTTCCACAGCAGCCTGACAGCGTAAAGGCTTTTTTGAACCCAACAGGGATCCCTCTTGTGATAAGACACTTACTGGGTTCTGCCCTGGCTGGTGCAGCTCAGTGGATTGGGCACGGGCCTGTGAACCAAAGGGTCGTGGTTCAATTCCCAGTCAGGGCACATAGGTGGGTTGCACACCAGTTCCCAGCAGGGGATGAACGAGAGGCAACCATACACTGATAATTCTCTCCCTCTCTCCTTCCCTTCCCCTCTAAAGATAAATAAATAAAATCTTTAAAAAAAATACTTACTGGGTTCTGGTGACTGAAGCAGAAGGTGAAGCAAAAGGCCATCAGTAGCCCAAGCAGCATGCCCAGAGAAGCCATTCTAGATAGGACCAGGCCCTGGGGAGACATAGGGAGACCTGATGAATATGAACACAGAAAATGGAAGTTCAACAGGAAGCTTGGTGCCTGATCACCTACCATTGTGATTCCATGATGTCACTTGTTCAATGAATGTCAAACATTTCCCACATAGAAATACTATAGGTCTTCTGCCACATGGAGTAAATCAATGTGAATGAAGACGCTATCTCCCATAACAAGTCCAGCCACCCAAGGGGAGACATGCCTTTATTGGACCTGAGCCAGTCCTGTCTCTTTCTTCCTCATTATCAACTTGATAACAGATTGTACAGGGTGGGATTGGCTATAGTAAGAAGAAAAGGAAACTAACCAATTGATTTGTGTGTGGACAGACATGGACCCAAATCTGCATAAGCATTTATAACCATTCACTTCTAAACCACACCTGCAGTTAGACCTGAAGACAAATGCTATCAGCATCCCCTAAACCAGCAAAATTCAGTATTATCAAGCCACAAAGCCTTTCACATCTCTTTTAAAACAGCCAAACAAGGAGACTTCTGCCAAGATGGAGGCGTAGGTAGAAGCACTGCACCTTCTCGCACAATTAAGTTTAAAAAAAACAAATTTTAGCAACAAAAACGCAGCCAAACCACAGAAAATTGAACTACACGGAAGTCTGACAACAACGAACCCTTCAGCCAAACTGGTAAGAGGGGCAAAGCCAGCAGCAGAGCAGGGTGGGGCAGGAAAGATCCACTGGACTGACCGGGTGCTCGACCCAGGTATGCCAGCAGGCGTGGGCGGATCTCAGGTGTGGAAAAGAGGGCGGACCCACTGAGGGCCCAAGGCGGTGGACCCACTGAGGGCTGATTGAGGTCACACATTCGCGCACAGATAAACCGGTGAAGGAGCTAGCAGTAAGACAGACCTCGCAGGCCCCAGTGGCAGGAAGTGGCAGAGAGAACCACCATTGTCCCTCTCTGACCCCGCCCCCACATACAGCATCACAAACCAGCGACCTGGGTAGCCCTACCCTGGTGAACACGTAAGGCGCCTCTCCTATGTAACAGGCATGAACAGATAAAAACATGGCTCAAGAACAACTCAGAGCACCTGAGCCAATAAATCTAAGCGATGAAGAAATAGCTAAACTTTCAGATGCACAGTTCAAAACACTGGTGATCAGGATGCCCACAGAACTGGTTGATTTTAGTCACAAATTAGAGGAACATATGAAGTCTAAACTAATTGAAATGAATGGAAATGCACAGGAAACCAATAGAAATGAAAAGGAAACTGGGACTCAAATCAAAGGAGTAGACCAAAAGGAGGGAAAAAATGACCAAACAGAAAAGGATGAAGAAACAAGAATTCAAAAAAATGAGGAGAGGCTTAGGAACCTCCAGGACATCTTTAAAACGTCCCAACATCCGAATTATAGGGGTACCAGAAGGGAAAGAGGAACAGCCACGAGTGGAAAACTTATTTGAACAAATAATAAATGAGAACTTCCCCAATCTGGCAAAGGAAATAGACTTCCAGGAAGTCCAGGAAGCTCAGAGAGTCCCAAAGAAGTTGGACCCAAGGAGGAACACACCAAGGCACATCATCATTACATTAGCCAAGATGAAAATGAAGGAGAGAATCCTAGAAGCAGCAAGAGATAAGGGGACAGTCACCTACAAAGGAGTTCCCATCAGACTGTCAGCTGATTTCTCCAAAGAGACCTTCCAGGCAAGAAGGGGCTGGAAAGAAGTATTCCAAGTCATGAAATCCAAAGACCTACAACCAAGATTACTCTATCCAGCAAAACTTTCATTTAGAATGGAAGGACAGATAAAGTACTTCTCAGATAAGATCAAATTCAAGGAGTTCATCATCACCAAGCCCTTATTATATGAAATGTTAAAGGGACTTATCTAAGAAAAAGAAGTTAAAAATACATGAACAGTGAAAGGACAGCAAACTTGCAGTTATTAACAACCACACCTAAAACAAAAGCAAACTAAGACGATAGCTAGATCAGGAGCAGAACCATAGAAATGAAGATCACATGGAGGGTTAGCAACAGGGAAGTGGGAGGAGAAGGGGGGATAAGGTACGGAAAATAAGTAGCATAGATGGTAGGTAGAAAATAGATAGGGAGAGGGCAAGAATAGTATGGGAAATATAGAATCTAAAGAACTTGAGACACATGGTCATAAACTAAAGGGGAATTGTGGGGGTGGGGGAGTGCAGGGTGGAGGGGAATGAAGAGGGGAATAGAACAACTGTAATGGCATAATCAGTAAAATAAAAATTTTTTAAAATTTAAAGAAAAAAAAGAATGAAAGCCCTGGCTGGTGTAGCTCAGTGTGTTGAGGGTGGGCCTGTGAACCACACAATCAAGGTTCGATTCCCAGTCAGGGCACATGCCTGGGTTGCAGGCCAGTTCCCAGCAGGGGATTCATGAGTGGCAACCATACATTGATATTTCTCTCCTTCTCTCTTCCCTTCCCCTCTAAAGATAAATAAATAAAATCTTAAAAAAAAAAGAATGAAAACACAATCCACAAAATGGGAAAAAGTATTTGTAAATCATATATCTAATAGGAGTTTAATATCCAGAATTTATCAACAACTCTATCAGCTCAACAACAAACAGACAAGCAACCCGAATTAAAAATGGGTCCTGGCCGGTGTGGCTGAGTTGGTTGGGCATGGTCCCATAAACTAAAAGGCCATTGGTTCAATTCTGGTCAGGGCACATGCCTAGGTTGCAGGCAGCTTGGGGCACGTGACTGGGTTGCAGGTTCAGTCTCCTGGCGTACACATGAAAGGCAACCAATCAGTATTTCTTTCACATACTATGTTTCTCACCCTCTCTTACTCCCTCCCTTGCCCTCTAAAATCAAAAATTAAAGATGGGCAAATTAAAGGACTTTTTCCAAAAAAAATACATGAATGGCAATAAGGATATGAAAATATTACCAACATCATCAACCACTAAAGAAATGCAAATCAAAGCCACAATAACATAACACTTTAAATCCACTACAATTAAACAACAACAAAAGAAAATGACAAATGTTAACAAGGACGTAAAGAAACTGGAACCCTCATGCATTGCTGGTGGGAATATATAATGATGCAGCTGCTATGGAACACAATAGGGCAGTTCCCAAAAAAGCTAAACATAGAATTACATATGATCCAGCAATTCTACTCATATGTACATATTCCACCCAAAAGACATGAAAACAGTGACTCGGATACTTCCACGTGAATGTCAGCAGCATTATTCACAATAACTAAAAGGTGGAAATAACCCAAGAATCCATCAACAGAATAATGTATTTTTTTAGTATAGTGTATACATACAATGGAATATTATTTACACGTTTCAACAGGATTAAACCTTGAAAACATTAGACCAACTGACATAAGCTAGACATAAAATTACAGATACTGTATGATTTTATTTAAACAAAATATCTAGAATATACAAATTCAGAGAGATATAAAGCAGGTTACAGGTTACCAGGAAAGTTACTGGGTACAGAGTTTTTGTTTGAAGTGGTGAAAATAATTAGGTCAGTAAACTAGAGTGAAAATCAAGAGAATTTAATTCAAATTGACAAATAATCTAGGAAAAGCAGAAAAAGAAGTATGAGGTAAAAAAAAAGTCTTAAAAAACTTCAGCACATGTCAGTATTAGCCCAAACCCTTATAAAAGGTTTGTGTGGTGATCACTCAGCCTCTATATACTTTATCAGGCAATTTATTCAATAGAGGCTTAACTGAATTAATGATGAGGGAACATCTCTTTAGAGTACAGTGTTTACCTTTTCTGTTTCCTATTCCTGCCATACTCTTCCACATTCCACCTCAAGAAATTTGTCCTGTGACAAGACTGCAGTGGTACTGAAAGCCCTGCCTGCACCCACTCTCAGAAGTTATTACCCTCTTGCCCAGCCTGCCCCTTCTCAAGGGCAGACAGAAACTTTCCCTAAGGACATCTGGAGTCATGAAAGAAAACAGCCCTGCTGGACCGACACAGTGCTAAAAAAGCACAGCCAAATGGAAAAGCAAAGGCTTGGGTGCTATAAATAGCTGCTACACTCACCCAGCAGCAAAAGCCTTTGCTTTCTGCCAGTTTCTCCCCTCTTTTTTTTCTCGACAAAATGGACCAGCTGAATGCCATATAAGCTTCCCCCAGCAACCTGGCTCCCTGGGGCACCAATCACATTGAAAGACAGGGAATGAGTTCACAGCATGGCACTAGGTTCTAGACAGGTGCCTGGCCATGCCTGGGTGTGAGGGAGTTGGGAGCCAGGCCGGATGAGGATGAATGAGGAGTAGGGGCTGCCACATCAGGAGACAGAAGGCTGGAAAGGGAGGTGGGTCCTAAGATACCTTTCTTACCCCTGCAGCCTTGGCTGTGAGGAAAAAATTGGAAGTGGGGGGCTCACAGCATTATGAGGACAACATACAATAAGGGAGAACAAAGATTAACCCCAAAGCCACAGATTTCCTTTCGCCTACATGAGATTGTATATGCATGTGTACATGCATGTACACACAGAGTTAGATGCTCCCTTCTGACAGGTATAAACACTGGAACTGGTGCTGGGGAAAAACATGAGAAGAAAGAGATAAATAAAAATAAAGATGTCAAAGGCAGAGACGACAAATCAGCAGGAGCAGGAAGCCCAGAAGGGACGGAGGAAGAAGAGACTGGGGGGCAACTGATGATGCACAAACAGCAGCTTCCCCACTCCTGGAGTGAGGAAGGGAGTGAGGGAAGAGACAAATGGCAGCTTCTACAGGGCTCCCAGTGCCTCCAACTCCCGCACACACGTTAACGCCCTCAGAAGCATTTTCTGCCAATACTAAGAATGAGGAGTCTCCCCAATAATTCTAAATGGGCTGCACACCTGACAAATTTATTACCTCCATATATGTTTTTCCACAAAACAGGGAGAGAGAGAACATGGAGGGTGGGAAGGTGCGTGAGGAGAGACCTAGATGAAGTGAGACTGGGAGAAAGGAGT